CTGCACAGAGTGAAGCCGGGGTCGGAACCCAGAAGGAAGGGGGCGCCTGGGTCACGTTCTTGCAGTCAACATGACAAAGTGAGACAGGTGTGGGATCCGTGGGGACAGCTGGCTACGGCCACTTTCTAGCTGCCAGGTGAGCTTGTCAAGTTACCCAAACCTTCGATGCCTCAGTTTCTGCATCTAGAGTGGGGACAATCAGGCCTGTGTAGCAGGTCTGCTATAAAGACTACACAGCACGTTGCATGTCAAGCCTTCAGCACAGGGCCGGGTGCACAGTAAACACTCAGTAAAGGCCAGTTATTATTAGAGATGCTGTTTAGATGCCCTCGGAAGCAGTACTGAGCGTTGGATGGAACTCATCGTCTGAGCATGGCAGAGTTTGTGCAACAGCGGGAGTCTCAGCAGAGTGTCTGTCTGCCTGTGTCCCCTTGGGAAGGGGGCAAACAAACCCAGCAGGCTGGCTCCATTCTGAAGCTACTGCCCTGGTGTCCGGGGCAGCGGGAGGCTGGCCAAGCTCCCAGACAGCCTGTCTCGGGCCTGCAGCACAGCGCCGTTGCCTCACCAGCTTGTAATGAGCTGCGTCTCCATCCTGATTAGGGGAACAATCCTCACTCAGAAAGACTCGGGGGAAGGAAGTGACAGCGTCGTGGGGACAGGGCATAACCTTGCCTCCCAAGGAGGGGCTGGCTTCTGGGGAGCTGGTGACTTGAAGGTCACAATCCAAGATGGTGCCCATCCCTAAGGAGGAGGCTGAGCAGAGCCCACCGGAGCAGGTCTGGGTCAGAGTAGGAGACGTGTTGGGGCCAGCCCAGGGCTCTGTCTGCAACCTGGGAGGCAGCTGCTCATGGGCTCTTGTTTGCCAAGAAGGGCAAGCAAGGAAACCAATGTTCTCTGGGTACCTTCTGGGTACCAGGCCCAATGCCAGGCCTATGACATCATCACCGTCCTCAACATTGTCCTATTAAACAGAATATTAGGGCACCATCTTTTCCAAAGCTGTGGATTGCAGCCCATTGCTGGGTTATGAAAACAGTTTAGTGGGTGACGAATAGCATTTTAAAAATAACATGATAAAAAAGAAAGAAAATTTCGGAGCGCACTGCACAGAGCAAGGATAAGCATCGTCTTGCGGAAGTTTCATTTCTTTAATGTGCGTATGTGAGAGTTTGAGAGTGGGGCTGTAAGGGGGATAGAAACCGTGCCCATTTCATAGAGTTGCTGTGGGGATTGAGTGAGTTAGTAATTTCAGTGCTTACAGCAGCGTGGCAAAGGCTGCCAGCTCTCACCTCTGTTCCCTTGGAGACAGTTCAGGTTCCCTATATCCACCAACGGCATCCTGAGTCTGTCTGTCTCAAAGGTGATCTCAAGCCATGGGAATAAGCTTAGTCTAAGCGCGGGGCAGGTAAAAGTCTGGTAGAATTTATGCCTCCGGAGTGACCTTCAGCCTCTGAGGACTGGGAGAAGATGCTGGATAAACCCCACAGCCTCCTCACCCCACAGGCAAGGATTCCGAGGCACGTCCCCACCCTCTCTCAGAGGGCGCCCAGCGGGACTGAGCCCCACTCGCCCACAGAAGCCACGACCTTCCCCATCTCCCTACCCCTTTCTCTCTCCGCTTCCTGGGATCCCCCCCACCAATAAACCTCTTGTACCTATATCCTTGTCTTGATGCCTAATCTTATTGTGGATGAACTCAACTTAAGCAGATTCTGGCACGAAGGAAGTGCTCCACAAGTGTTAGTTTGTGAGTCATGTTCATCTTGAGATGGGATCTGTGCAAATGCTTTATACGCATCATCTCATTTAATCTTCACTCCAACCCTATAAGAGGAACTGTGATGGTCCCCATTTTCCAGATAAGGAAACAGGCCTAGGAGAGCTAAGCACCCTGCTCACAGTTACGTAAGTAGAAGGAGGGGACCCCATTCTGAACCTATGTGTGGTACCCAAGCCCTGTGGTCACCCTCTGCACTCCGCCGAATCCACACAAGCATCCTGCCAGTTAGCTACCACCGTTACTCCCATTTGACAGAGGCGGAGATGGACCATTCAGGAAACTAAAGCACTCAATTCCCATGCTATTCGCTGCCAGGCTGGGACCAGCATCCAGCATTCCGACTCTTGGCTCCGTGCTTCCCAGGCTGCCTCCCAGCACCCTGTGAAGGGCAGGCATGGGCGAAACCCCTTCCCTCAAAGAAAAATCCGCGCAGAGGAGCCTGGCCGGCTGTTCAGCAAACCTGCGGTATGGGAGAGAGGTCAGATGCGGGTGAAAGGAAGGCAATTTTAGCAGGCTTACTGGGACTTCCAGACGGAGAGAAGTCTGTTCTAGCGCTCGTGCCTCAGCTTCTCAGCCTGTTAAATGGGGCCGCTGACCGGATACTGAGTCCCTCCACTCACTGCTGGCTTCAACGTTCACCTGCCCATCCTTGTCTCCAGCAGCCCCGCCATTCCCACCAAAGCACCATGAGCTGTACGTGCCTGTGGTCCGAGCTCCATCTGTAGAAAGTTCACCGTGGTTATTCACTGCCCATCTGCCGTGTGCCAGGCACAGCGCTAACCTCTCAGTGCCTCCACTTCCTCATTAGTAAATGGAATAATCTCAGTATCTGCTTCATGGGTTGTTCTGAGGATTAAATGAGCTAATTGTGCAAACCACATATCTGACAAAGGACTCATATACTCTCAAAACTCCACATTCAAAAGCCAAACAATCCAATGAGAAAATGCACAAATGATATGAAGAGCCACTTTACCAAAGAGGCTATACAGATGGCAAGCAAGCACGTGAAAAGATATCCCACAATACTGGCTATTAGGGAAATACAGAAGAAGACCATGATGAGATGTCACCACACACCTATTAGAACGGCTGAAATAACACCAAATGCTGGTGAAGATGTGGAGCAACCAAATCACTCACACATCGCTGGTGGGACTGTAAATGGCACAGCCACTCTGGGAAACAGCTGACTCTTTCTTAAAAACCCAAACATACACTTACCACATCAGCCAAACAATTGCACTCTGGAGCATTTATCCCAGAGAAATGAAGACTTATGTTCCCACACAATCATATGTGAATGTTTTAGCAGCTTTATTTGTAATAGCCCAGAACTGGAAACAGCCCAGATGTCCTTCGATGGTTAAACTGTGATACATCCACGCCACGGTCTATTACTCAGCAACATCAAAGGAATGAACTATTGATATGCACAACGTGGATGGATCATGCTGAGTGAGAAAGAGCCAATCCTGAAAGGTCATATGCTGTGTCATTCTATTTAGACAACATTGTTGAAATGATGAAATGATGCAAATGGAAGATATACTAATGGTTGCCAAGAGTTAAGGATGGTAGAAGGAGAAGGGTGGGTGTTACCGTAAGGCGTGGCATAAGGAAGATCTTTGCGGAGAGACACTAGGTCTGTGTCTTGATTGTGGTCGTTACACAAATCTACACAAGTGGACACAGAACTATCCTCACGCATCCTCATTCCAATGTCAGTTTCCTGGTTTTGATACTGTTGTGTAATTACGGAAGATGGAACCATTGGAGAGAACTGGGTGAAAGGCACAAGGGATCTCTCTGTAGTGTTTTGCAACTTCCTGCAAATCTATAATTATTTAAAAATTAAAAAAATATTTTAAATGAGCTTGTTAAGAGTTTAGATCCGTGCCTAAGTGGCCACTTAATCAACATTAGCTCTCATTATTATTATCTCATTTCCATTATTACTTCATACAAGTCATCTTATTCAATGCTCACGATAAGCTTGCGAGAAAAGTTTTTTTTACCCCCATTTTACAGACTGAAATACTAAGACTCTGACATAGCAGATAACTTGTCTAAGTTCACATATCCAGAAAGACCTAGGAACTGAAGCTCAAATCCACGGTCTTCTCACATACATGCAAGTACGAAGACCAGTAAGATAAAAATCTTTGCGTCATTGAGGGTAAGTAAGAGGGAAGGGCAATAAGGTAAGTAAGAGCTATAACTCAAACCCAAGCAGAATACCATAAATGCTGTATAAGTTCTATGGGAGGGCAGGAGAAGGAGGAGTAAAAAATTCCAACTGAAGAGATTTAGGAAGGCTTCCTGGAAGAGGCGACATTTGGGATTCTTTGAAGAACAAGTAGGAGGTCCATAGGTATGCATGGGGTAGTGGTGCAGGAATGGGCATTCCAGGCAGAGGGAACCTGATTGTCAAGGGGTAGCAGAGCTTGGAGAGCAATGACAAACCCAGGGAGGCCAAAGCAGCTGCCAGAGTGCTGTAGTGACCAGAGGCAGATGCAGACACAAGGAAAAGCAGAGGCAGCCCCTGAGGAGAGGCTGGGGACCGGGCTTGTTCCCCCAGCCTTTGCTCACTGTGGCCTCCAAATTGGAGTCTGCCGTGGGAGCCGGAAGACCAGTGTCTAAACTGTTTGTGCAGTTAAAACCGCACAAGAAGGGCCAGCCTTCTGTTTATGCTGCAAAAGCCAGGCAGAGCCCGCGGGTTCTGGGGTCCCAGGAAGCAAGGAGCCCTTCCATCTCAGGACTCAAGACAGAGTTGTCCAGGGTCCTCCCGATGCCCAGCCCCAGCAGATCCTGAAGGCAAACCCCTGCCCTTTGTGGGCTTTGGAAGTTTATCTTCCAACCGTCAGTCACGAGCTGTATCACCTCGGTTCTCGTTATCTTCCCTCCCCGACGATAGCCTCTGTGTGGCCAGGAGCTAGGAGTCTCTGGCTCGTCGTTGACCCCAGCTTGGAGTGGGCACATAGAGCTGTCCATATTCAATTCCACTTGACTGATCCAATACCAATTCATCGGGCACCTGCTAAACGCAGTCCCTGTGCTAGGGACCAGAGGCCCTTCATGGGAAGAGACAGCCACAGTGCGCCCACCGGGCGATGGCGGTGCCGACTGTGCAGAGGCAAAGGGATGAGAAACTACCCTGGACTGTGACTGGTGGAGATGGTCACTTCTGTGCAACTTGTCTTAAGAAATGTAGAGGTGAAGCCTCCTTCTCCATGAGAATGGGCGCCATTGATCGCGGTGTCCAGAAATTGCTAATGGCGCTAAACAGAGACACAGGTGATGCTCCCACCACAGTAAATGCATGGCAGTGGTGACGGTGAGCTCTGTAACACTTTTTGCCAAGGTCATGAGCGAAAATTGGATGTAAGACAAGCACAATATAGAAATGTATTAAGGAATAATACGTTTTAGGTCATAAGCCAAAAAAGCAATGTATTTTCTGCAATTCAACTTCTACAGCCCTAAAGTGAATTATCTGAAAAGACTCTAGGGGGGAGACATCTTGTAGTACGTCATCAGTATGTCCTTATTCAAGTGGACATAAAAGAGGCTCAACTGAGAAAATTGTGACAAGGCTGACTGACAGGACAACTGTGGATTAAGCACGGGGTCTTCCAAAAGGCCTCTCTTGATGAGCAGTCTTGACTCAAGCTTTGGAGGAACGAAGGTGACTCTGATGGGCAGTGGAATGAATCACAACATGTACAATTCCTTAACTAAACGTTTACTGACTTAAAAAAACGTGGAGGTGGCATTTGATTATCTGTGGGTCTTTGCAGTCAGGATTGTGGCTCAAATAACCCCCTCACCTCTCCACGTCCACTTTGATTTGCCTTTACCAGGCTGTCCCCCGGGCCGGGCTCAGTAGATGCTTTGGAAAATGGATTTTGAGCTGTCCAGGGCACCTTTTCCAGATGTACACTCAGGCTTCGGAAGGAAGAATTGGACTGAAGGGAGCAGCTGAGAGGGAACTCAGAGATGCCCTGGGACAATTGCTTTCCACCTGGGCTGGCTGGAGCCAGAGGGTTCCACAGACGTGCCCAGGTGGGTGGAGACTGCCCTGGGGAAGGCGGATGCTGAGGCCCAGGGCTCAGGGTCTCTTCCCGCTTCAACCAGAAGAGCTCACTGTGACCTTTCTTACACATCGAAGCTCCAAATACAGTGGAAGAAAGGTTCCATAATTTAAGGTTTAAAATCCACTAAGCTACTCCAACACCACCATCATCATCGTCATCATCATCATCTTTACAATAGCTGATTTTGAGTGTTTCACACGTGTGAGACACTGTTAAAAGCGTGTTACAGGCATTATCTCATTTAATCCTCATGGCAACTTTAAAAGGTGGGTATTATTATTATTCCACTACATAGGAGAAAACAGGCCCAGAGGATAAGTCATTGGACCAAAGCACACAAAGTGTAAGTGATGGAGCCCGGCTGAGGACTCACGCAGCCAGCACGTGAGCCCGCACAGCTGTCCACTACAGATTCTGAGGAAGGTAAGGCCCAGAGAGAGGCAAAGACTTGCCCCTTCCCTCCCTCCCTCTCCATCCTTCAGTGTACCTTCCAGGACAACTCACAAGTGGCTTTATGTAGACCGTCCCTTGGTTACCAAGCATCTGTGCTCCCCAGCCCAGAGCGGCTGAAGGAGATGGAACTGTGACGGCCAATCTGCTGGGGGGGCCCTGTCCTGAGTGGGGCTGGGGCTCTCTCTTGGCCTGTAGCCTCATTTCCCACCCTCTGCTCCAGAGAAAGGGGAGGACTTCCGGCATGGCATTCCAGACCCTTCACGGTCTGCACTTGTCTGTCTGTGCAGCCTCACTTCCATTTTTTCCCCTCCATTGTCTCTTGCTATTGCAGATATGTATCCACCCTGTTCCTTTGCCATGCTGCTCCCTCTGCTGAGAATGCCCTTCTTGCCTTGCTAGTGTGGCATACTCTTCCTCAGATGTCCCCTCTCTAGGGCTCTGACCTCCCTCCCGAGGCAGAACCAACCACACTCTCGCCAGCACGCTCCCTGTCCCAGCACACACCGCCGGTGCTCTGACCAGTGATCCGCTCCACTTGCTTGACTCAAGGACAAGCAGATGGTCCCATTTTTACTTCACTGAAACCAGGATGGTTCTTACAATCCATGCTTCTGATTAATGTAAGAGTATTTCTTGCTCCTTAATTGCTGTTATCAAATCAATAAACTGTTTTGTAATCGATGTTGTCTTAGGATCCAGGAAACACAAGACTTCTCTGTCTCCCTCCAGGCTGAGCTCACCTGGGCTGGGGGCCATGACCTGTATGTCTCTAGAACCCCCGTGGGCCAGCACAGGGTGGCACAGAGGAGAGGCCAGATGGTGGCAAGTCACGGTGCTCATGGTTGCCCTTGGTGCCCCAGTCGCCACGAGAGGCCTGTGGGGCTCTGGGCTCCAGGGCATCCGACAGGCCAGGGTATCAAGCCTCAAGCCATTTCCCCACTGCCCAGTGAGTTCATGCAACCGCTTCACGGCACATGCCCTGCAGAGAAACATGGGCAAGAACGCAGACTTCATTTCCCTGGTGCTGGCTTTCTAGTGCTGCCATAACAAAGAACAACTGACTGGGTGGCATAAACAACAGAAATTTATTTTCTCACAGCTCTGGAGGCTGGAAGTCCGAGATGGAGGTGTCAGTAGGGTTAGTTTCTTCCGTGGCCTCTTTGCTTGGCTTGTCGATGGTCGTCTTCTCTCTGTGTCTTCACATGGTCTTCCCTCTGCGCATGTCTGTGTCCGCATCTCTTATAAGGACACCTGGCATATAGGATTAGGGCCCACTCCAATGACCTCATTTTAACTTAATCACCTCTTTAAAGACCCTTTCTCCAAATACAGTCACATTCTGAGGTATTGGGAGTTAGGACTTGAACATACAAATTTGGGGGGGGACAAAATTTCGCCCAAGCTCTAAGCTTGGCCAAGCTCAGCAGGAAGCAATTCCAAACCACGCCACACTCCATGCCCTGCCTCCTCCTTTCTCTCACAGAAGTAGCCACAATAGCTGACCAGTCCCTAGGCCTTAGCTCTCTTGAATTTCCAAGAGAATTTTCCAGCATACCCTCTTCTGATTGGTCTACCCTTCGCTGTCCCCATCTATTTAGCTCCTGGCTCCAATTGCCTCCTTTCTAGACCTTCCAACCAAAATCTCCAGTGGCAGTTGCCCACCACTTCTCCTCTCAGAGCCTCACCCTCTTGTATAACATACGGGGATCTCAGACTTGACACGATCCCTCAAGAACATGGGACTTGGCTTACCGTTGTCCTTCCCTCGCCTAAGGCACACGTCCCTAATCCATCACAGCACGCTTTCCTGCAGAATCCAATGCCAGGAAGCCTTTGTCAAGTGGGCGGGCTTGTGAGCTGGGTCATATTCGCAGTTGTAGGCCTACACGTCCTCGAAGGGACCTTCTGATCTGAAATCCTGTGGATCTTTGGGTACAACATCCATACACTAGGTTGTTTTGGGTAGTCCCAAATTTATATAATTTTTACTTTCTTTAATAGAAGTAATTTATAAATTGCATAAGTAACTAAAAGTGTCTGGACTCTTTCGTGGGGAACATTTGACAAACCCTTGGAATCTGGGCCCAACAGGCGCACCCTCAATATGGCCTGGAGCAGATGACCAGGAATCTGGCTTATCTATTAGGTGGCCCAAGAGAGGAACAAAGCAATAGCACTGGTAGGATACTCATTCATTCATTCCTTTCACAAACCTTTTCTGAGCGTCTCGTTGCTGCTTGGCACTGCTCTAAGGGAAGGGGATTCACACGCAAAGATAATGATAGCCCTCGTGGTGGCCCAGGTGCTAGACCCAATGGCATCCTTTCTGTATTTAATCCATTATGGCCTCAGTTTTGGTACATTTCCCTTTCTGTAGGAAACATTACTAATTGTCCACTAAAATTCATGTTCTCCCTTCCATAGTATGTGGCTGTCCATGTGAAGGGGTTTTCCAGCAATGGCTACAATTCCCAGCCCTGCCCACATCTAGGTGTGGCCATGTGACCCCACTGGCCGAGTGTGAGAAGAGGTGAGAGTCACTTCTGGGCCGAGGCTTTTAAGAAGCAGGTGGGGCTTCTCTACATTCTTTTTCACCTTCCATTGGCTAGATGCAGGTTACTTCGAGGCTCTAGAGAGGAAGGTGAAGCCATAGGATGGAAGGAGCCTGGGTTCCTAACTCACTGGGTGGAAGAGGGCCACCCATGAACCAGAAATGTCAGCCTTGGACTATTATGGGGACCAGACATAAATTTTTATTGTGTTTGAGCCTTTATCCATTTGGGGATCTTTTTGTCAGCGAAGCTTACGTTACCCTAACTAACACAACATTTAAGTGAAGTCAGTTGCATTGCTACACTGGTCCAGACCCGTCTTTGTAGCTCCATTGCTGACTTCAAACTGCTCTTGGATGTGGGTACCCAAAGGAAATGTTCATCAGCCAGGAATTAGCCATACCTCTAAGCCAGATGCTTTTAACTCAGGTTATGAGGGGTACATAAAAACTCGGTGAAATAAGCTTTCAAAATTTGGGAGAAAACTGTAAAGCTTCTCTGAGAAATTCCCAGGCACTATATTTGTTTGCCTGGGAAATCAGTCTGGGTCCAGGACAACGTTTTAAGCAGCCAGAATCCCTTTGTCTGGGTTTCAGTACCCGCTAGCTGTGGCTCAGTGAGGGAGTAAGGACCACCTGGCAAAGAGAAATTAGCAAGTAACGGGAGCCCAGCCCCCAGGCTGGGTTAACAGCATGAGTCAGAGTGCTACAGAAATAAAGAAATCCCATTCATAAATTTTCCCTCGCCCCAGCTTAAGAGCTTTCAAAGTCATAAAGTCTATATAAAGCCAGAAGACCTGCAATTGTCCAATTAGAGGTTTTATCCAGGAAAACACACATTTTCAAAGTCACTGTTTAGTCCCCATGCCAGGAGTGTAGTTGGGCTAGCTTGGTGTGCCGGGCCTCTGGCTTTTCTAGAACTTTCCACTTCAGTGGGACAGGACAGAGGACTTCTCAGAGCCTCTCACCCTCCAAGGTGCAGTTCATGAGGGCCGTAGAGACACGCAAGGCCAACCGTTACTGTGAGAACTCAGGAAAAGCTAGAATGTACTTAACCAGCTCATCTTGGAGGGGAGTCGCAACTGACATTTACTGAGTGCTTACTATTTACTATTCCTGAATGCCAGATCCTGTGCTAAATACAGAGCACACATAATTGCATTTAATCTTTATTGCTGCCCTACAGGAAAGGGTCTATTTCCTTCCATTTTCCAGATAGGAAAGTGAGGCTGGCAGAAGTCAACCAACATGCTC